ACACACACACACACACACACACACACACACACACACACACACACACATCCATGTAGACATATGAGTGCATACCCCTACAAAAACACACCAGAAGAAAGATCAATAGTGTTAAGTGAAGAAAGAAGAGACTTAATTAAAAATAAAATTAATTTTGACTCTTACAACATTTCATATACAAAAACTTGAAACACAGGATAAACTTAAATCTAAAGATGAATAAAATCAGAGAATATCTGTGTTACTTGGAGTAAGTGGAGAAATTTTAAACCAGGACTTGATATCACTGAGAAAACTTTAAGAAAATTAAAATCAGGGGCTAGAGAGAAGGCTCAGCAGAGGAGAGATGGCTGTTCTTCCAGAGAACCCAGGTTCAAATCTCAGTAGCTACAGCTGGGTTACAACCAACTGTAACTCCAGTTCCAGGGAATCGTATGCCCACTTCTAGCCTCTGTTGGCACAAATGTGGTGCACAGACACACATGCAAGCAAAACTACCATACACATACAATTTTTTAAAAAGAAAATTAAAATTTTCTGTTAACCAAAGGCACAATTAAAACAGTGACCCTTAGAGAAAGTTAAGAGTTCCAGTTTTGCTCACTTGTTATTGATCCATCTACCCTAGAATAGAAACTATTGTTACTAAGCAGAAGAAATTGTCAAATCCAACAGCAGGATCCAAGTCACAGAGGGATCCCAGGGGTAACTTAACCAAGAGAAGCCTGAAACTTTGGAAAGCTCAAATTGGAGCAAAGGCTCACAATAAAGTGGAGCCACTTACCAGTTGAAGAATGGATGTACAGAGATTCTGAAAGCGACAGAACATTCGCAGAGCCTTGTGGTTCTCTTTGGCTATGGCGTTTTGCAGGTCCAGCAGCTCATAGCTCTTATCTGGCTCCTTAGGCAGCCAGGACACAGAGCGAAACTCCTGAAGAAGCCTAGAGTCAGGAAGTAAGCTCTTTAGAGCTAGTGTCCCAGCCATCCTACTTTCAACACCTTTGAATTTGCCCCAACCCAGTTCAATGCAGACTGAGCAAATGTTCAATATTCCAGTGACCAATGACAGCTTCTTAAGACCAGAAAGCTGCCAGATGGGGAATTATTTGGGAAAGCCTCATTGAAGGTATACTTGCTTACAGCTAGTAACCTTTCTTCCAAAAGAGGCTCAGATAAATCCTAAGATGTGAAAAGACAAGAGGCTCCTTCTTGGGAATAAGGAAAACAATGCTCCCAAAAACTTGAGACTGACAGGCATATTTTAGGATCAAAGGGGATTGAACTACAGCGTCTCTAGAGCTGACTGTCCCTAAGGAAGCTGTTCCTGTTCTCTGCCATTCCTGTTTCCCTAGAATTCCATCCATAGCCCTTGAGACTCCTTGAAACATATGAACAACCACCAATAAATAGACAGGATGTCTACGATGAGGATGAATAGTATCTATTCTGGCACTATATCTTATATCCATAATCTCATTTAATTCTCATGTTGCTGAAATCTTTATAAGGATTTTCAGACCATTAAGGTGAGGCTCAAAGAGTAAACTCCTTTGCTAGTTTTCTGGATCTAGATCCAGACCTATCAATCCACCCAAGACTTACACCATCACCAGACAGGGGGCATATACCTGCAACGCTCGATGTTGGGAGGTTAAGGCAAGAAGCTCAAAGCTCTTCTTGGCCCAGGTAACACATTAAAGGCCATGTGAGGTCTATGTGATGCTGTTTCAAAAAAGTAAAGTAAAACAACCAGAAAACAAAAACAAAAACAAAACAAAACAAAAACACAAATAATGGCTAGGCAAGTCTGGAGGATGGTAACAGCCTAAAGAAGTTGCAAGCTGGTAACCAACGTACCAAATTCAAACTGAAAAGTTTCCATTGTGTGTTGCTCAGAGTTGACCCTCAGTCTTTTAATTAAAATTTGATCCCAAATAGTATTCAAATTTAAATTTAAATTTAAAAATAATTTTTGAAAAGTTGGCAAGATGGCTCAGCAGGTAAAAGCATTTGCCACCAAGCCTGACAACTTAACTTCAGTTCCCAGGTCCCACCTGGGGAAGGAAAGAACTGACTTTCCCAGATTGTTCTCCGACACCCCCCCCCCACACACACACAGAGCAAACACAAGCACACACAAACAACTAAAATACTATAATTCTAAAACATTTAATTTTCACCATGAAATGCAATTTCCAGGAAATCCTAAAAGAGAACTTCAGTTGATCATATTGGACCTACACTCCAAAATGTAAGGAAGCTGGAACTGGCAAGTAACTGTCTTTTTCAGATGCAATCTTCAGGCTGCAGTGCCACAATCCCTAATGTCTTGTACCTAATCACTGCATCTTTGCAGTATCTTCCATTTAGGCTTCCTGGGCATTTGAGTTTACAGCTCAGATTACAGAATACAAGCTGAAGCGCCATGAAGGAAAGGCAAGTAAGTGAGACAAATAAGGATAACCAACTTTCAAAGAAGTGCGAGTGTGTCCGAGAGAGAAATGAGGAGAAATTAAAGAATTTTTAGATTCAAACACCAATGTTTGACCCACAGGTTTGGTACTTATACTTAGGATAAATTTGTATAGAAGAACATGTAATCACATTGAGACATATTAAGGATACTGATTATATAACAATGTTACATATTGTTATATAATGATCATAGATCACATTTTATATATATGATAGGACCAGAAAAATAAATATATAATGTTCTTAGTGGTTATTTAAAGAATGTAAAATTAGAGATTTTTTTCTTTGAGCTTTTTTGTATCTTAAAATTTTATAAGTAGACATGGTGTTGCCTTTTGGCCAGATAATTTTTTGTGGCTATTGATACAAGTCTTGAAGGCTAGAGATGTAGCTCAGTGGTGAAGCACTTGCCTAGTATGTTGAAGGCAACAGATTCAATCCCTACACATATACACACAAAAAACAAAAATAAAACCCAAACCCTCAAACAACCCGAAACATAATGGCGTGTGTTATGCAGTATAGGCCAACTTCAAACTCTTGATCTTCCTGCCTCAGCCTTCTGAGAAGTGGGGCCCCGAACATGAACCACCACACCAAGTATTTAAAATTTAAAAATACATGGCAGTTGTGTTTGTAATGCCTCACCTGCTAATGTGGAGCATCCCGGCTCCAAAGTGAGGGACAGCCAGGAGCAGGTTGTTCTCCAGGAAGGCCTGGATCCGGTGCAGCCCATACAGCCCCATGCTCTTCTTCCAGCTACAGGTTAGAGGGGAGTGATGACAAGTTCCCATAGTTCTCTCATCCATATTCCACCCAAGACCAACCCTGTCACTACCTACCATGTCAAAGCCTTTCGTAAGAGGCAATTCTTAAAAAATGGAATGCGTTGGAGCTCGTGCCAGATGGCAGAGTCACGGTGCCAAGTACCTAGCGACATTGTTTCGCAGCCCTCCACAGGGTGAACGTGCAGGATCCCAAAGGGAGAAAAGATGTAGTGTTCCGGATTCACCTTGCTGGGTGGCACCACCACCAGCTTGTAAGGACTGTTTGTGATTAAAAGACAACAAAGACAGCTCTCATCAGTGAGAACCAAAGAACGTGAGCACAGATCCTGAGAAGACCAGAGAAGGATGGGGGAAGAGAAAAAGAAGTTAGGAAGGGAACAGAAGAAACAGGGAGAAGACAGAACAGTATTCAAACTAGAACGATTGAGTGCTAAGAAATTTAAGCCAAAGGTAGATAGATGGAAAGAAAGAAGACTTCTCGTTTGTTGACCTGTTCTAAGTTCCTATTTTCAGATACAGAGTATCTCATAATTTAAGACAACATGATGTGTAAGCCGAAACATTATTAAAAACTAACATTAAAAATCCTGCCACTGGGACTGGAAAGATGGCTGCGTGGTTAAGGGAACTGGCTGCTCTTCCAGAGGTCTTGAGTTCAATTCCCAGCATGTGATGGCCCACGATCATCTGTAAAAATATCTACTTCCCTCTCTGGCATGCGCTCAAACAGATAAATTTTAAAAAAAAATCCTTCTGTTGTGCTACTTCTTTGATTTTTAAGATTCATGGACATTTCAGAGATGTTGAAGTGTGTGTAGGGTGGGCTGTCTTAATAGTGGCTATCAGAGCCTGGGAAGGATGTGGGGGAGGGAAGGATGGAAAGAGTAGTTTAGGGCTGGGGTGTGGCTCAATGAGTGCTGAGTTCCATCCAAGGGGGTGGAAATTGGATCTACTAGAAGAAAGTGAATGAACGCAACTGTGTGCAATCAGAGGCTTGTTTTCATCGTCTCAGAGATTAAAAAAAAAAAAAGGAAGTCCAGGGAAAGGATTTAGTTCTAAAATCAGGATGCTTTTGGAAGACCGTGTTTCTCTATCATTGATATTACAACATGTGAGTCTTGTACTTCGGTTAGATAAGGTCAGCATTAAACATACTTCTGAAGCTATAAATAAATTATTTCTTCAGTCTAAAAACGAATACAGAGCAAAAGTAAGAAAGGCACAATTCAGACAAGAGGTTGTGAAAGCAAAGTGGGGCAAAGAGGAGCTGGAGAGAGAAGAGGAAGGTAAGAAAAGAAGAAAGCCAGAAACTATGAGGCAGAGAGGAGAGCTGTATGGACAGCAAGCAGAAGAGGGGATGAGCACAGAGAAAAAAACTGGAGGGTAGCATGGGCAGGAACTGGAAGGGTCTGGATCCAGGCTCTTACTTAAAGTGCCTATCAGGAGCCACATTGAGATAAACAAAATGGATCTTCTTCTGCTGCCACTCTGACTTCAGAAGGGATTTCACCTGGCTTCTCAAGAAGGAAGTCTTAGACTGTTTCTTCTTGAAGTCCTTCTCCTCAGAAGCTTCAGAGGCAAGCTGAGATCTTCATGACAAAACAAGTCAGGGAGAAAAGGCAGAGCAAAGAGATCAGTGCCTAGAGGTGGGCCTTGCTACCACTGACCATGGAAAGCTAGATCAAGTGCCTGAGGGAACATAGCCCTGTCAGACCCTAATAAAAGCTCAAAGATGTCCCATATTGAACAAATGCAGTCCATCATGCATGTCGGTCAACTATAGTCAACCAAAGCCTGTCATGCAAAACTCTTTTCCTGATAAATGATCCTACTAGACTGGTTGTGATTCCTGCAGTCAGTGCTCTGCGACATTTATACAGCAATAGAAAGGCATTATTGTCCCAGCTTATCACCTGCAAGTCTACTGCCCTGGAATTCTTATCAGCAATAGGCTTTGATATTGGACCAAGTTATCTTAATTGCTATATCTCTGATCAAAAGAGAATATAAAATTCAAGGCCAGCATAGGCAACTTAGTAAAACGCTATCTCAAAATAAAAGTACAAATAGGATTGAAAATTTGGCTCAGTGGTACAACAGTTACTTATCATGCATAAGGACTCTGGCTTGAGCCCTAGCATGACAACAACAACAACAACAAAAAAAAAAAAGCATTTTTTTTTAGTAGTGAGTTCACAAAATCAGAACTAATGGCTAATGAATAGATCCTTACTATCCAGTCTCTATTCTGGGCTCATTCTGCTTTGATGTCACAGTACAAACAACTACTGTTTCCAGCTTCCCAAGCTGCTAAACCTAACCCATATGCTCAACCCTGCCTAGCCTCAGCCTCATCACATTCTTCCTTCTTTGCCTGTATGTACAAACTGAGCTTCTCAACTCTGAACTAACTCCTTTGGTCTCGGCTGCCTTTTCTCATACCGTCTTCTCAGTCTGAAGGACAGTGCGCTCTTTATTTTCTGCAAGGCTACTTTTTCATGCGTATGCTAGGTCCCTTACTGTTCACTATTAAATGTCCTTTTACCATAGCCTGTTGATCTCTTCAGTCTGAAAAGAAGTAGGATGGACTAGCTACTTCTCAGGTGCTGTGTCTGAAGGGCTGTAAATGCCCCTCTACTTTAACAGTTTCATCCAGATGCCAGAGTCACTTCAAACTTTGGTCCTTTGCTGTACTTCTCTCATTCAAGCCAGTCTTGATGAATAGTAAAACAGTGAAAAAATGAGTGCCTCCCATTCATTCCCAAATGCACCATAGTCCAGCTTCCTCATCACAAAACAGGAACAGTTCTTCTCAGCCCTGGCAGCACTTACTACTAACTGCTGTCCCACTGACATAGTTTCACCTCCTAACCCACTTTACTAATTTCTACCCAAATCCTCTACTCCTGCTGTATTCTCTCTCTCTTCCAACTCCATCCCACCAGGAGAGTATACAGACAACCAGCATTCTTTTGTTCATACTACTTACTACAATTTGTTAACTATATCTTACTTATCCTAATGTCTCCCTCACCAAATTATAAGACTTCAAAGGAAAAAACCCGAGTCAGTCTGATTCATTCCTTACATTCCCAGCATTTAGATACAGCCACGTATCTAATAATAGTTAATAAATGAATCAGGGCCTAGGAAGACAGCCCTGGAGAAGAGTAAATTGTATTAGCTAACCCTCAGAGACTCACTGTCTAGTTCAGACATGTAAAAGAACTTGATTCCTTCATGAAATATTAGCCCATGGCCATTTCTGTTAAGGTCTCCCAAGGGCAAAAAGTTAGGCTTGGGGCCATGCTGAGAAGCAGCTCTGCTGGCCTTACTGACGGCATAAACTGTTGACTTCACCACCTTCCTCCATAGCTCCAGGAACATGCCCACTTGTCCACAATTAGGGATTTGAGAGTTCACGAAATAGTTATAAATTGATCCAACCATAAATTTAGGAGCAAAAACTGAGTTGTCATGCTTGATTAAAGGCAAAACTACCTCCCCCTGCCACCCCCAGACAGTGAATGGATCAAAGTTAAGCTAAAAAATATCAAGAAAAATCAGACCAGAGCTAGGAAAAGTCCCTAGACTAAAGTCAAAGAACTCCCAGAAGGGGTCTTTCGGGGATTCTGAAATCCTGGGATTTTGGAAGCCAGACTGGGGGACTGGAAGGAATGGATCATTATTCAAGGGACCAGCCATACTGTCAGAGCAGGAAGAGGACTGACTGGAAATGCTGGTGCTCTGCCTTATGGCTGACTCTTGATTTTAGTATTTCTCTATAGATTAGCAGTGAGACACTAGCATTATTTTGCAAGTGCAAAGAAAGGTGCAGCCTAGTCCAGCTCAGTTTAGAGTTGGACTAATCCTGAAGAGCGATATGGAGCGGGCTCAAGAAGCCCCTGGCCCTGCAGGCACCTAAAACTAACTTATCTCCTCTGCTTATAGCCCCAGGCCATGCCACTCACTTTCCTCCTGCAGGCTCCCCTTCTGTGTGGTCAGTATCAGTGCTTTCATAATTTACAGGGATGTCTGTCGCCAGTGCCAAGGGCAAGAGACTGAGACTATCCAGCCACTGGTTCTCTTCTAAGGCCACCTCAGCACCAACAATGCCCAGGCAGCGCTGTAGCTCAGGCAGTGTCAGTGGTTGTAGCCAAGTGGCCAGTTCCTTTTTTTTTTGTCCACTCCACTTGGCCTTCACAAAAGGGCATGCTGAGCTTGGGGGCTCTCGATGAGACCTCCTTATCCAGGGATGGCAGTCAGCATGGGAGGAACATTGTAACAAAGAGCTGTCTGGGGGGAAAGCCTTGTCTATGGCATCTAGCAGGTCCAGCTGGAGTTGGGACTGGATCCGGGGTGCCCAGGAGTACAGCTGCTCCAGGAAGGGCAGCAAATCGAGTTGACCAGCCAGCATCTCCCGGTATGGAGGCAACAGGCCCAGTACTGCATGCAGATAACGCCAAGCCTCACAGCTGCAGTCCTGCAGCACAGCTGACAACAGAGAGTGAAGCTCGGAAATGAGCAGTCCCAGCAGCATCTGCTGCTCTGCCTCAACCACTGCCCTAAGGTGCTCCTTTTTCTTCAGGCAGTTCCAGGAGTGCTCTTGGCTGCCGCAGGTACATCCAGTGATCCCTGAGGATAGCTTGTCAGAAGTCGAAGGTACCGTTCTCTCTTCCAGAATAAAGCGGAGGCAGGTATTCAATTGCTGACGAACTGATCTTGCCCACAGCTCAGGGTCCAAATGCCAGTTCCAGGCTTTTGGCTGCTGTGCCTCACCTGTGTGACCCAGCCGGGTTGGGGGTTGGGGGATGGGACAGTCAGGCTCTCGGCTGTGCGGGTAGGGTTAGGACAGCAAAATGGATAGAGCTGCAGGGCACAGGCAGACCAGCAGAGGGCCGTTCCTGAGCCCCTCGCTGTCAGGGAGATCCAAGGAGGGGCCCTCCCTGCCCAGAGCTCCTTCCCACCCTCCAAATGCCCCATCTCACCTGGCCTGGGGCCTGCATAAGGCATGGGAAGGGAGAGGGGACTGGTCTGGGAATGAGGTTTCATTGCGGAGCGCTCGCTGTAGTGAATGAGCCTAGACTCAGTCCCAGTCACCTCACGAAGAGACCTTTGCACGCTTGCAAAGCTAGGAAACTGCAGCCACAGCAGGGAACCTTCAGTTGCCAGTGGAGCCTGGCAATCGCCTTGAAAAGGAGACACAAAGGGGTCGTCACTCAGCCGCAGCAAAGCTCCAGTCACCTGAAGCCTTCGCCACAGACTGAGAGGATCCTGAGTGGAAAAGCAACTGCTGGGTGGGGATGCGGGTTAGGACACCTAGAAGAAAGAAGTGGCAGAAGAAGGCGGCAGCTCCAGGCGCGCCAGTGGGAGGAACCTCCCGAGGCTCAGGGGCACCAGAACCGCGGAGGGCAACAGATCCGGATCCAGAGCGGAGTGCTTCCCTGCACCACCCGCTCCCAGCTGTTAGAACCGTTACCGAATCCTGGAGGCCCGAGCCTTAGCCCGGAGCCTGACTGAAAGTTCGGCTTGCATGTGGGCGGGGCCTGGACGCGTCCAGGCCACACTAGCAGGATGCCTCTAACCTGACACCCAAAAGGCCCAAAGAGAATCTGGCTGGGCCAAAGAATGAAAGACAAGATTGGTTTGGCGCACTAACAGCATCAAGGTCGTCATAGGAAGCAGGTGTGATCCATCATGCTCACTGATTCATCCCTCCCCTCCCTCGACAGCATGTCCGTCTGTCCCACCTCAACTCCCTCTCAATAAGCTACATATCTAGTTGGGGCTGAGACTCTGGAGTGGTTTGTTTATTAGAAAACCATAAACCCTGCCCTACCTCTCTTTTATAGACTTTGCCCTAACCAGTACAAAATTTGATATGCCAGAACTGTGATAGGGAGGATGGTTAAAAAAAAAAAAAAAAAAAAAAGACTTCAGGAGAGGGAGGTTAGTCGGGCGTCTGATTTCAGATATGTCTAGTTTTAAGTCTGAGATACCGGATATCCATGAGTGGGAGGCACAGCACTGGCTTCATATGCTCCAAGCCCTGTGTTCAGTCTCCAGAGGCAACCAGGCCCTGACTCATGATTCCCCTGCCTCAGCCTAAGTGAAAGGAGTATGCTTATGTACCTGTCCAACTAGAAGTTTAGTGTTTGCTCTCACATCACTCACATTCACAGGGCTATACCCAAAGTCAGGGGCCTTCCCTATGGCTAAGGGAACAGCCTTTGCCTTCAAGGTCCACGAGAGTTCACCACTACGCCTGCCGAGGTCCATTCCAACCAGTGAGATGAAGAAACAGAAAACACACCTTTCCTTACTAAGGGCACAACCTGGCAGCTGCACGTGCCACTCGTTCACTTGGCCTGCCCTAGTAAAGCTTCCGTGTCGAATCTGTTCTCAGCGGTTGTGCTGGTTTGAAAGAATGGCCCCACAGGCTCACATTTCTGAAAGTCTGCTCTCGTGCTGGAGCTGTCCGGAAAGGACCAGGGGTAGCTTTGTTGTCGTCTCACTAGTCTAAGTATACTGTAGTGTACAGGAATGAGCACTTCTCTCCATGTTCTCAAAGCTGTATTTCAAGTTTCTGCTCAGTTGTCCCCTATATGGTGAGTTCTTTAACCTCCCAGAGGTCAGCCTTCTCCCATTTCCTTATCCTCTTTACCCCAAATTATTCTCCATACTGTGATTGCTATCTCATATGCTAATTATGTTCATCCTACCTAAAAAGGTAAGCTCCATAGAGATGGCTATGACACAAAGACTCAAGCTGCAAGGAAAGCCTTTCCTGCAGCAGACTCCCTTTGTAAACTCACAAGGCAGGAAAGCGCCCAGACCCCAACCTGAGGAGCTCTAGCAGCCAGGCCCCCAATCCCAGACTTCCCTAATGGTGGTCATTTTTTAGCTCTGGGACTGTCATTCCCAGCCCCAAAGCGGGACAGTGCACTACAAGAAAAATCCCACCACTCCCTGAACAGGAAAAGTCACCAATCTTTGCCAAGCAATTCTCACCCTGGAAAACACACACACACACACACACACACACACACACACACACACACACACA